ACAATATTTTGTATTATGCTGGAGTGAGTAGCCATTCCCTCCTCCAGGGGAATCTTCCCAACCCAGGGATCAAACTCAGGTCTCCCCATTGCAGGCAGATTCTTTACCAGCTGAGCCTCAAGGGTAGCCTAAATTATACTAAGACAGCTAAAGAAGACTATATATCTTATTTTGGGTCTCTAATTTTTTCTTAGAATACATATTGCTGTCTTTATGTAATTGTATATGTGTGTGTATGTGTATCAAACACTTGAAATAGCTAAAACTCAAAAAAACTGGAGCTCTGTTAAGTTGTAAAATTTAATTGTCATTAATCCTCTTGATAAAGTCTGTTTCTTGAGATGTTCCCAACTCAGGGATCAAACCCAAGTCCCTGTATTACAAGCGGATTCTTTACCATCTGAGCCACCAGGGAAACCCCTTGAAAACACTACATTTTCCATTTAAGTCTTGAAGTTAATTCTTTCCATTAATCAGGGAATCAGTACAACAGAGTTGTTAAAGGCTGGTACTAGGGTCACCAGTCCTGAATTTTAATCCCAGCTTTAATATCACTTACTAGCTGGATGACCATGGGCAAATGACTAGTCTTATATAGTTTTAGTTTCTTCTTTCCTCAAAAAGGAGAATAACACCTCCCAGAGCTCTTGTGAGAGTGTGAAAATATATATTTTGTAAATTTTAGTCATTTAGTCTTCATTCCTGGTGCCCTTTCTATCTCACTATTTTCTTCACTGTGTGCTTACACAGAAGGGTAGATTGTTCTGCTTTTTCATAGTTGGAAAACTATTTCTAAAAATTAATGGTGAAGCCACTCATCTGAATGTACCTTTGCCCCAAAATTTCTACTTTCTTCTCTCTGAGCCGTTCTACTCTGAATATAGATTAATTCACCTCCAGTCCTTTAATTTGTAGAAATAAATTATTACTCTTCTTTTCCCCTCTCATCTATAGATATCTCTCAGGCAAAGGAAACGCACTTTGTGACTGACAAAATTACTATATAGCATGGGGCAGGGTAAACACATTACAGATCTCAATAACGTGTTGTTCATTGTCGCTTGTTGCTCCTGTGCACGTTCAGAAGTTTCTTGAATTCATTTCACTCTTTCATGTCTCTTTTCCCGGCTCACACAATCCCACAACCTCTCCACATAGAACAGTTAGAACTTATTTATCCAGTGAGACTCGGCTCATTTATTGTTTTCCACTAATAGTCTCTTGCCTGCTACACATCCCTGCCTCCACTTCCACCCTCCAAGGAGAGATAATCTCTCTCCTGCTCTACTTTACTGCAAGCATACTTCTTACAAGATCTTCTAAGCATGATGGTATGTATTGTCTGTCTTTGTTCACTAGATGCTAAACCTTAGAGTCCGCTGCCACAGCATTGCCTCATCCTTTTGGAGACAATCTCCAATGGGTGTTTCTCGCTACAGAGCTTTACTGCCAGGGCTAGAATCTGTCTTCCAGAATCTGTCTTCCACTCTGGCCCTGATCTAATTCTAATGAGTTAACTACAACTGTCACTATTTACACTGATTATATGTGAAGTAGTATATTGTAGTGGTTTGGTAACAAATTATCTGATTGCACATCCTAACTCTACCAATTTGTCTTTTGGTTGGTTACCTACCACTTGAGTTTGGGCAAGCTGCTTCTCTGATGTTTGTCTATGTGAGCCCAGTCGTGCCTGATTCTTTGCAACCCCATGGACTGTAGCCCGCCAGGCTCCTCTGTCCATGGAATTTCCCAGGCAAGAAAACTGGAGTGGGTTGCCATTTCCTACTGCAGGGGATCTTCCCAACCCAGGGGTCAAACCCACGTCTCCTGCATTGACAGGTGGGTTCTTTACCACTGAGCCACCAGTGAAGCCCTACCATCTCTTAATTGAGATGATGATAATACCTCCTTGTAGGGGTATTGTAAGGTTTGAGTGGGAAATCCATATGCTTAGAATGCAGCCTGGCACATAGAAGCACTAATCAAGGTTAATGCTCATATTTAAATAATAATCATAATCTAAATAATTTAAAGAAGAAACTTTTACAGTCAGTAGATCCAATTTCTTTAAAGTGTCCTAAGGAAAGGCGGCTGGTATGAATAGTTTTCATCCATTTATAGACATGTTAATGTGGAGGCTCATAGTGGTTATATTCAGTTTGAGGGCATGTTCAGAAAGGCTTCTTTCCTGTATAAGTTCTTCCTGACTCTCACCTCATAGGAAACAGAGATGGTGCATTTTCTGGTGAAAAAATTTCACATGATAGTTATTTTCTGTTTCTCTTTCCAAATGTAAATGATTTCCTTTAGGACACAGCTCTGCAATCCAGTATTATTAATAATTTGCCTGGCTCTCGCATAGTAATTTCCAAACTTCTTTAAATTGAAGCTAATTTTCTGAAACAGTGTAGTTTACTAACAGAGGCTCTTCTCTAAAATACCAAATTGCCTTCACTGGTGTTAGATCACCGAGTCAAGGGAAAGTGGCATCTGTGAACTCACAGAGACTCTGTCTCAAACAATTAAGGGGTTGACTTTTCATTGATCGGCTGATTCACTTATTATACTCTGACTTCACATGTCACGCACGGGATCAAATCTCTTGAGAGTATATTAGGTCAACTCACCAAGGAATATGAAATTTTTTCTCCTTTATCTTTTTCAAGTAAATTAATAATTACTGTCTAGTCACCAAAATTACATCTCACTTGAGGTTATTTTTACTGTACTGAACTATTCTAGTAGTATATCTTGAATTAGAAACTGGAAATTTTGCTGTGAAGGGAATTTTCATGCACAGTTTAATAATTCAGCTACCTCAACCCCTGGGCAAAATAAATAGCTAGCTGAATGCTTGTTGGCAAAGTCACAGTGAATTATATTATTTGAAACTCTAAATATCCCCCCCCCAAATAAATGTTGGAATTATCTGTGGGAAAGCAAGGGATTCAGGGCATTACAGTAACATTGCTTCTTTACCGTATGTGCATTGTCTTCTTGGAGATCTATGGAGTTTGGTAATTGTTTTTATTAGGAATAATAGAAGTACACCCATTGCACTTGGGCTGCAATTACTCCCCCTGACTCTCAGCCCTGCAGCAATTCTAGGACCTGATATTAGTTGAGAAGAGTTTCTCCTCTGATTTCTAAACATAGATAAATAAGTTATCTCAAATATCTAGTAAGAATTCCAAAGAGTTGGAACAACTGTCACTATTGAATTTTATCAACTAGTTGCTTTTAATTAATTTATTTTTGAGCGTTTATTTTGGGTGAGGCACTGTTAGAGTCAGTTGGCATACATTAGTGAATACAATTGTCAAAGATACCTGCCTTTGAAGAGGTTGGATTCCGTTGTGGGAAGGGGGTGGGGTTAAGGAAAGAGATAATGAATGATAGATGCCATTAGCAATTCTTTTGGTATGTTAGAAACCGATACAGGCTATGGGGAAGGAGACTGGGGAAAAGTGAATCCGGAGTAAGGAAAGAGGTTGCAGCCTAGAGAGGTTCGGGGTGAAACGGTTGTGCCACAGAAATGGTACGTAACACACCCATGTGGGGAAGTGGTGGAGTGGGGAGAGTAAAGCCTCATAGAGCTCAATTTCCAGCACAGAAGTCCTGACAAGGTATCTAAAATACAGTTCATTCTCCGCCTTTTTGCAACTAGTGGAGTGCAGTTCCTGGCCTTGTCTCTCAGCGCTAGAGATGAAATAAATTATAAAGGAAATGATACTGCCCAGGCTCAGATCCTGTGACATCCTGTCTAATTGAAACTCTTGTGGGTAGCATGTTTCCCATTAGTTGTCCCAGTTCACAGGGGATGGAGGAAGAAAGCATTGAAGAGATAGGCAGTTCAATTCAACAAGCACTTATTCATATCTCTTATTTACCCAGAATGACTTTATTCAATTTCAGTGATACAAAGATGCAGACGTTCTTAAGGCCCCTCAGCTGCCTTGTAAGATGAACCAAAGATGAATGAACATAAATGAAAAATATGTGATGTTGCTAAGCAAAGGTTGTGTATACATTCACATGTAGAAGAGATATACTGTAATCTGGAGTTAGCCCAGGGCTTTCTGGAAAAATGAGATCGAGGTTAGATCTTTGCAAGCTTGAGTGTGGCAGTGAAGCAAGCGGGAATAATTCGGGAAGGGCCACAGTATCCCACCAAGACACAGAGGTAAGAAAAGTCAGAGCTCCTGGGTTAATTAAGGGAGACAAATCTGGCCACGGGATTTCATGACCAGGAGTAATGAGCCCCTGGACTAACAGAAGGATTTCCACACTCAATGTCCCGGATGAGGGGGATCAACACCTATATTAGACAGAGTGCTACAGCCTTCCTAGGGAGTGGAACTTGGACAGGAGGAGCCCAGTTACAGGGGCGATTCCATTACATTTTACCTTAGTAAAATGGAGACAAAGGAGAATTGTCTCCAAAAAACAAAAAGATGTCTTCTTCCCTTCTGTTACATGGATATATCCTACTAGTCTCTAACTATGGCCTGACTTAGGTCACTACGGTCATAGGCTTTGAGCTTGAGTCTGGAGGAAGTTTAAAAACAGGGACCCCGCTGAAGATACTGGAGAGCGGGGGTCGTGTTAGAAAGCAGGCACCCCCAGGATGAGTGTTCATTGCTCATACTCAGCAGGCTGCCCATGACCTCTCCCCCGGCAACCCTGCTTAACGGAAGACACCTGTACTCTGTTCCTATGGGCAGACTGGAGAGGTTGGCCGAGAGAACGTCAGCTTCCATCTANAGCGCCGCCCGGCTTGCCGCCGCCTCCCACCCCTCTCTCTCCCCGCCGCTCTTAAGGTGGCGAAGCTGGGGCTCGCTTCTGTTCGCGCCACACACCGCTCTGCCAGCCCCAGCCCGGGACCTGCGAACGCCTCCCGGAGACCAGAGGATCTCGGCGGGGGCTCTTTCCAACACCACTTTGCCTGAAGTGGGGTCGTGGCGGAGTTGCTCCGCCGCCGCTCAATGCAAAGCGCTATGCGGAGAGCGGTCGGCTTCCCTGCGCTGTGCCTGCTTCTTAGTCTTCACGCTGCAGGTAAGGGGCTGCCCGGCAGAGCAGTGGATGCGCTGGGAGACTGCACATGCTCCAGGACTCTAGGGAAAGCTGGCTTCGCGAGGAAACCCTTAGAAAGGCAAAGCAGGACAGTGCCGACCCGGTAGGGGCGAGGGAGTCCTGCACCTGTTGGAAGACTGAGGCCGAAAACTTAAGCTAAAATCAGCCCTTGATTTTTCCTGACCTCGCATGAACATTTTCAATGCGAATACAGGTTTGCTTCCTCCACCCCTCCCCTCCATCTAGACTCCCAGGTTTTGTTTCTAAGCTCCGCACTTGACTGCCCGTTTTCCAGGAGGCAGACGAGACTCCCTACTGGATGTAATATTTTCTACTGCAGCGACTACTTCCGTAAGGTCTCTCGGTTTAGCGAGAGCTCACAGGGATCCATTGGCTGTGTCCTGATAGACCACATCTCTGCCCCAAAGATCGAAATACACGGTTCCCATTAACGATGCCGCTCCAGGCTCCTTTGGCCCCAGCTCTTGTCAGTCGAATTTTCTAAACCAATAAGACAGACGAAAGCTTTAAAATAGGACCCTCTTGTCTCTTTCAGCATCATGGTCAGGTTCCGAGGGCACCAGACAGAAAACCAATCACAGTTTCAAAGCTGACAACCGCATGGTAGGCACTGTCCCCTGGGACGGGTTTGATGAGGTATAGAAAGGAATGACAGTGAGACTGGTTCCCAAATATAAATATAGTTTATATCAGAACCAGTATCAGGTTTCGTTTGGAAGCAAACCTTAAGAAGTACCTGGGGAATTTTACATAAAATGTCGCTTTAGACCCTGCTTTTTTGATACATGCAGCCTCGATCTGATGCAGGGACTTGCTGGACTGAATCCTTTATCATTTTCACACATACATGAACCAAAATAAAATATGGCAGAGAGATTTTAGGAGCCCTACTGCGACAGCAGTTGTCCATGCAGTATCCCTATAGCAATCAAAGACCAGGTATTTTCCCTGAGTTTGCCTGTCATCCAATCACACGTATTCATTCATTTTTCCAAGCAATATTTTATTGAGTATATACTACAGTCCACAGATAGTGCATAAAGATAATGGATGCAAAATTGCAATTTGGGGGTATCTTTTAAAAAGAGTGTGGGTGAGCCCTTTTCTGTGTAGGCAGTAGTGAGAGTGAAAGATGGTACTTTCTTATTTCTAGCTAATGCTATTTTAATGTATGGTGAATCTCTTGAACAAGTAATGTATAGGAACATTCAGGCTATAATTAAGTACCCATGTTAATTGTTATAATTATGATGTTATATTGTGGAATTTTCAGTAGTTCTTTGGCACTTTGAAAACTAGGATGTAGCTGTGACATGGTCATTAAATTATTTGCAAACAGCTGTAGTAAATCCTTTTATTACTGCATACAATTCTTTAATGTTGAAATATGAGATGAAAACATACACATTGGGTTGAATTTTATCTACATTATTGTTTTATTATAGCCCTGAGACAAATAGCTATTACCAAAAAAATCCTCAAACATGAACCAAAATAAAATATGGCAGAGAGATTTTAGGAGCCCTACTGCGACAGCAGTTGTCCATGCAGTATCCCTATAGCAATCAAAGACCAGGTATTTTCCCCGAGTTTGCCTGTCATCCAATCACACGTATTCATTCATTTTTCCAAGCAATATTTTATTGAGTATATACTACAGTCCACAGATAGTGCATAAAGATAATGGATGCAAAATTGCAATTTGGGGGTATCTTTTAAAAAGAGTGTGGGTGAGCCCTTTTCTGTGTAGGCAGTAGTGAGAGTGAAAGATGGTACTTTCTTATTTCTAGCTAATGCTATTTTAATGTATGGTGAATCTCTTGAACAAGTAATGTATAGGAACATTCAGGCTATAATTAAGTACCCATGTTAATTGTTATAATTATGATGTTATATTGTGGAATTTTCAGTAGTTCTTTGGCACTTTGAAAACTAGGATGTAGCTGTGACATGGTCATTAAATTATTTGCAAACAGCTGTAGTAAATCCTTTTATTACTGCATACAATTCTTTAATGTTGAAATATGAGATGAAAACATACACATTGGGTTGAATTTTATCTACATTATTGTTTTATTATAGCCCTGAGACAAATAGCTATTACCAAAAAAATCCTCAATTCCTATCAAGTTTAGGAATGATTTGAACTGATCTATGAAAAATATTAGTGTTGTTATTTTTAAAACTAATGTATAAGATTTATAAAGATAACATTTAATGTATCTTGAGTAATTATAGCTTAAAAACTATAAATAACCTTAAAACTAAGCAGTTAGAAAACATTTATAAATTTGTTGTAGATGAACATTTAGGATAAGGAAATAGAAGACTTTTGTTCATCAAAAGAGAAACCTAGAAGTCTGTAGACCTAGATTATACCTGGAGCTCTGCCAAAGGGTATATTACCAAGACAAACCAATCCAACTCTACTTTGACTTCTTAATTTGAAAAAAAAAAAGGAAGATGATTAATCAATTGAATTTAGTCACAAGGCATTGAAGGCTATCTCCAGATCTCAGCTGCAATATGCCATATAGAAATTAATTACATTCATATTTTTAATGTAGTGCTTTTGATAGGTTTTTTTTTCACAGCAGATTGCAAGTTTAATATTGTGGTTGTCTTGCCAGTTTCGTTTTGAATGCATTTTAATTTAAACAGCAATTTGTGGGTCACAAGCTGTCATCAGATTAAAATTCATCACAGTTATCTAAATAACATTGTTAGGACTTTTCATTAGAACTGAGATGAATCAGCTTTCTTGATCTCAGCTCCTGTAGATTTGGGTAATAAAAAAGTGAGTGAGTGGAAGGACAAAGATCAAGAAGTCAGTGATAGTCTCCACTTGTTGAATGTCTCATTTGGCTTCTCTTACAGAAGGCTCTCCTCTCAGGAGGAAAGTGGGCTTTATAAAGAAGGAGAATGAATTCTATGTAGTCAAGCCTCTTTGGCTGAAAAGCTAATTGATCCGTTTTGGTTGTGCCCAGGGTACCAGCCACTACTTTATGCTGGCAGAACTGATGATAGGTTAGATCTCTTTCAGGATGGGAGAAATTGGCTGCCAGGATGTGAGTGCTCTTTGTAGCTATACTAGAAACTGTTAACTTCCATAGTCATTCTCCTAATGGTAAAGTAGCAAAATGTTTTCACCTTGAGTGCCCTCTCCAACTGTTTGGTCATGATCGCCTGAGTCACTATGCAAAAAAAAAAAAAAAAAAAATTCTGACCAACCCTGAGTTCTGATGACTTAACAAGGAAAAGTATACTAGAAACTGTTAACTTCCATAGTCATTCTCCTAATGGTAAAGTAGCAAAATGTTTTCACCTTGAGTGCCCTCTCCAACTGTTTGGTCATGATCGCCTGAGTCACTATGCAAAAAAAAAAAAAAAAAAAAAATTCTGACCAACCCTGAGTTCTGATGACTTAACAAGGAAAAGTATTGCGATCTGTTTGCAGTGTCTGTGGGAGCAAAAAGAGGAAGAGGGGTATAATGCTGTGTAATTAACATCTCTAGTTAAGTAAGATAACTGTAATGAATTACTGAGCATGGGGTTTGTCAGAGAATCTGGACTCAACTCTATCCATGGCAGCTGATGTTCATAGACCTTCTTAACATAAAAAGTGATAGTTATTATTCATCCAGCTGCTTACTATACAGGTGAGAAAACTAATTCAGTAAAAAGTAGATATTATTACTTTAAAGTGCTGGTTAACAGTATAGTCAGGGTAAAAACCCCGTGTTTCCAGGCCTGTGATTGCATTCTACTATACTCTTTGGGAGGCCACCATTGAGATAATGGTGCCAGATTCTTTTTCCCTAATTGTCCTCATTCCTTACGCCTCTATGAAGCAACATAACGTATCAACTTCACTAAAAAAGACCACTTCAGGAATATCCAAGAAGGCAACTGCAAGCTACCCAATGATATGGATGGTAAAATAATCACATGGAAAAGCCACAGATAGCTTATTTTCTTCAGTGTTTCTTCTCTTTCCTTGTCCAAGGAACTATGGGAGATGATATTTATTGATAATATTTTAGTTACAAAGGAGTAAATGTCTTGGGGTATCTTGAAGATTCTCACAGGAAAGCTTTCTTTTTCCTAGTGAATGTCTTGCTTAAAAAACACAAGTTGATTTCGATTCACTACTCTCTCTTCAAGCTCTGGAAATGGTTCTTTCAAACTTCTGTATGGTTCTTGCTTTTTTTTCTGTATGGTTACCTGCTTTTCTGGATGGCACAGAGACTGCCTTCCAAATATATTCTGACGATGCTTCTTCATTCTCAGAGAAGTGCCTAATCAGTTTCTCTAGTCTTTGAGAAGTAAGAGTTCCTGTGATGGAACTAAGAGGATCAGGGAAGTCACTGGCAGAAACACCATCCTCAAAAGAAAGGGTAGGAACTTCCCTGGTGGTCCAGTGGTTAGGAATCTGCCTTGCAATACAGTGGACATGGGTTCGATCCCTGGTTGGGAAACTGAGATTCCACATGCAGTGAAGCAAATAAGCCAGGCACCCCAACTACTGAAGCCTGTGCACTCTAGAGCTTCCGTGCTGCAACTGAGACCCAATGCAGCCAAAATAAATAAATAAAATAGTTTTTAAAAAGAATAGAGAGGAAAATGACATTTTAAGATATCTTTTCTCAACGAAGAGTCCCTTAGAGTCCCAGAATCAGTTTTTCACTCGACATAGTTCTTACACTGGCCAGGGGTCTGCTCTGTTCTCTCCCACATTATTTCTCTGATATCTCTCTGCTTTCCTCTTCTTTGTCTCTCTCCAGCTACAGTGGTCTCCTCCCTAATCCAAGAAGACACCAAGTTCTTGCCCATCCCCCTGAAAAGTTTTATTTATTTCTTTGCCCGAACTATCCTTTCTCCATATTTCCATGGCTTAATCCCTCAATTTTTGGTCTTTGTTCAGATTACTTTCTCAGTGAAGCCCTCATTGACTATCCTAA